TATAGCATTTGAATCTCGTTTAGTTTTTGAGGCACATAGATTCTCAACATTTGATAATTAAATTTATAGATCACCATTTATAAAACGGCAAATTACACCAAGGGTTCCCAACCTTTCAAAAAAGTGCATGAAGTTCCAAACTTTTTATTTTTGCGACTGAAGTGTTAAACCCTTTAAATTAATATGCAACACAAGGTTCCTTTAAAGGTCTTCACCCAAAATACGGTCAGTTGACCCAGAAATCACCCATTGACAAACATTTGATCTATTCAAATAAGGGCAAAACATATATTTTCATATTATCACGTTTAAAATGATTAAAAAAGAGAGGAAGAGAATCTCCCATGGTAAAACCATTACAGTGTGGTTACAAGGAAGATCCCTTCCCTACAACCGCCACTACTAGATGAAATTTCTTCTCCATGGTTTCGAAAACCATCGAGGATTTCTCCCTCGGTCTCACGATACATGGTTGCAACGGAGGAAATTTCCCCCCCTTGGTGGTGGTGGTTGCAGGGGATTAGTCGGGGTATGGTAAGTGATGGTGGTGACGACGATGGCCATTGATGATTAGGTGGGGTAGGGTAGATGAAGAAAATGATTTATTTTCATTTTTAAATTGTTTTTTTTGTCAAACATTTTTCTACTCTTTTCTTATTTTTTTAATTTCCTTCTCTCTTTTTAATCATTTTAATTTAAATAATATTAAAAGACATTTTTACTCTTCTTTAAATTTGTCATATTTTGGCCAATAAATGATTCATGGGTCAATTGACGGTATTTTTTTGATGAAAATCGTTAAAAGGAACCTTACACTGTGGTGAAGTGCATAAGGAGTTAGAATTTATGATGAAGTGGGACCACAAGGCAAAATAATGATTTCATGATAACTTTGGGTTTGTCCGTTTTTGACGAATTAATAGTCTAATTTGAGTGGAAACGGGTCAAGGATCACAACTCATTGCCTTTGACCATGACGTACGTTGGATTTCAGACAGATTCCATCGTTTAGGCTCTCGATTACGCGTTTTTGCCGTTTATGGTAATTTTTATTTTGGTAATATCTCATTCAATAATATTCAGATTTTGATTCCATTTGTTGGAGGACGATCCTGAATATTAGGAGTTTCCATTTAAGTTAAAATATCGAATTTTTCCATTTATGGAAAAATATATATTTTTTATTTTTTTTATTTATTTT